TCATCAGTCTTTCTTATAATGTTTGGATCTTACTGATATTTCCCCATTTCAAGGTTATAGAAATATTGGTCCATGTTTTCTTCTGATACTTCACTTTTAGCATATTAATCTTATGACAAGAGCCCAGCTTTCTCTTTTTTTCAACTGACTAACCAGTTGTCTCACAACATCACTGATTCATTTTAAAGTGTCGTCTTTATCATCTATTTAATACCCATTTACGTTCACATCTATTCCTGGACTTTATTATGTCTATGATCATTCTGTTCTAATCCATTACCACACTGTTTTAATTACTATATCTTTGTAAGCTGTTTTCATGTCTAATCATCCATTCCTATATTACTCTTTTCTCCTTCAGAATGTTCCTAGATATTTGGATATTTGTTCTTCCAGGATAATTCCATAAATTTAAAAAAAAAATTTAAAGTTCTATTGTGGTTTTTAAATTGCAATAAGTTTATAAAACTGTTTAAAGGTAAATAACATCTTTGTAACAGAAAACCTGCCTACGGAATGATGGCAAATTAGTATTTTTAGAGTTTTAACATTTCTTCATTTGTAGTCTTCATATTTCTTTTTTAGTACAATTATGGATGATGAATGGATATATAGATGGATGGATGGATGAATGGATTGTGTGTGTGTGTGTGTGTGTGTGTGTGTGTGTGTGTTACCAAAAATTGAATCCAAGTCCTTCACACTGAACTACATGCCCCATCCTCCACCCTTTTTTATCTTGATACAGGGTCTTCCCAAGTAGTTGGGTTGCCCAGACTAGGTTTGAACTTGCAGTCCTCCTGCTTCAGCTTCTCAGAAGACCATAGATTATAGACATGTGACACCATGTTCAGCGGATCTCCTTCCATGTTTTACATTTTCTTTTCTGCTTACATTACAGAAGTATTATGGACATGCCTATCAGATTGACAAAAGTTTTAAAGTATGATGTTAACAATCATTAGTGAGGATGTGGAGAAAGAAGATCTCATGGTGATGAGAAAATAAAGAAATACAGCTACTTTAGAAAGCCATTTGGTGAAGCAGATCCAAATGCCTTATCTGTAATTCAGAAATCCAAAAAGCTCTGACATCTCAAAGTTCTTTCTTAACTTATTTGGTAGCAAACCTTGACTGATGTAAAAAATACATTTATCCCACCTAATGTAGATATTTATACTTCTCACCAGAGAAAAAATAATATATTTGATTATGGGCTACTTCACAAACCCTGCTGAGATTGTTCTGTATGACACATATACATACGTACTACCTTTCCAAAAATCCAAAAAAATTCTTAGCACATCTGGCCCCAGGGATTTTGGACAACATATTGTGAGTCTAGTAAAGTCACATGTGCATATCCTAAGACCCAACCATTCTGTTTCTATGAATATTCTTTAGAGAAATTATTCATATGTGCATATGGAGACATAACTAAGCATGTTCATTATAGCATTATTTATAATGATAAAAATTAGAAATAACCTAAATATTCATCATTGGGAGAATAAATTGTGATATATTCATCCAGTAGAATACTAAATAGTTAAGCTAATGATACATGTGTCAGCATTTTTAAATCTAAAGAGTTGTTGAATAAAAAAAAGTTAATGAATGATAGATAACCGCACAATACAATTTAAAGTTTGAAAACCTGTATGAGGGTGATAAACACCAAAGTCAGTTTTGTAACTATTGTATCTCTACAAAGGGAGGAAAAGAACAATGTCCCTGGGGATATAAAGTAGGTTTTATATTTTATCTATAAATTCTAATGTATTGTTTAAAATATGAATGTGGCAAAATGTTAAAATGTTTTTATAAATACAGATTTGTGTTCATAATGCTCAATCTTTTTATGACTGCATAGTGTTCTGCAATATGACTGTCTCTTTAGCCACTTTCTCATTTAACTTGCTTTCACTCGCTAATATTACAAATACTGCTGGAGCAAATATCTTTGATTTCTTTTTGCTTATGTACACGTATTTCTGTAGGCAAATATTTTTATACATTTTTCATTTTGATAGTGCCAACTCTCTTTCAGAAAGTCTTTAACAGTTTATCCCCCTGAGAGTGTCCCTTTCCCCACACCCTCCAAAAAACTGTCAAATTGGAGAGGGAAGAAATGTCACATTAATTTTCAATTGCTAATGTCTATTAGGCTTTTCATATTTTATTAGCCATTACAGTTATTAAACTGCCTGTTAATATCTTCATCTGATGTGCATTCTGCTAAAGATAATTAAAAATGGATGATTAGTACGTAGCTAGGATTTCTTTTTGTTCATTTGTTTGCTTTGGAGGGGATTTTTGTTTTTTAACGTAAGAATTTTGGAGATTAATACAGGACAGGAACACCTGAGCAACAAAAACGTTGGCACTTCCTGTTTTTCTGTTCTGTCACCCCTAGCATGCTTGTCATTCCATAGGCACAAGATAGCTTCTTTACTTCCAGACATCACATCCACTTTCCAAGTAGAAGGAAGAAAAAAAACAAGGAAATAAAGAGCTACACAGAGTCTGTCTTTCTCTTAGAAGCCCATGATTTCCATCTTTCTTTAGATTTATAGATTTTTTTCCCTACAACTGTGTAAAATATAATAAAAGGCATTTAAATTCAAATTACTCTTTAGAATCACCTCTTTTTATTACCTCTCTTACATCTTATTGGCCAGAACTGAATCACAGTCATGGCCAAAGGGAGTAAGATCATCATGTCTAGTGTACACAGTCATGGTTCATTCCCTGTACACTCCTTGAGAGCAAGGGGTCTTGTTCACAGCTTTATCTGCAGTGCCTAGAAGAATTTCTGGCACACAGTCCAATCAGTTTTGTAGAATGAACATACTACATGAATGATAAGATAAAATGAGCTGAAATGAGGCAAGAGGTGGGGGGATCTCCACCACTATTTAAACCAGTCTGTAGTCTGTCTTCAGGGAAGCCAGGGGAAATGATTATTGTCAGTAAATGGGGTCTATGAAAATATTCGTGACTGTTGATCCTAGTTATATATTTGTCTGTTGTATATGAATGAATATTTTCACCCAGCCTTCTACCTACCTCTTAACTCGTTACTTTGGAATGATTTTAGGGTTAGAGAAAAGTTGCAAAGTGGTTGAGTTTACCTGTAGCTCTCACCTGGGATGCTGTATAGTTAGTGTCGTATGTTACCAAGTAT